TTTCTGTTTTAATCCCAAGGTCTGAAACCTTTTTAAAGCTTGTTGTAGTGGCCTGGGGATTTGTGCTGCTGGACAAAGAGTCTAGTCCTGGACATCTGCATTTATTGGGCTTCTTTCTCCTTAGGGTTTAAGTCTCTTCTAGTGATAAATATGGTGCTAAGAGAGCTGCAGTCACTCTTCCAGAGAGTAGGGCACAACTCAGTGAACTGTAAAAGTAATACAAAATGACAATTAAAGTAGGGCATTCTCTGATACCTTGAGGGCCTGACAAAGTGAAAGTATTTAACTTCTGATGTGCCAGACTTATTCACATAGAAACAACATATCACCCACCCAAACTCTCACTCCAAATTTCATATATCTGGAAAGGTGATGAGGATAGAAAGTAGCAAACAAAAGAAGGCAAAACCCAAACAAACCACAAAACCCAAAACACTGCACAAAAGTCTACATATTGAAGACAGTGTAATTTCTATTTTAGAATCACAACTCTATGCTCTCTACTCACAACTTATTAGCTCATTTTCTAGACTATGTTCAGACATTCAATTTTATAGTTTCAAAGAACACATTGGAGTAAAAGCATCTGAGGCAAAGTGTCAGAAGGGTCCTGAGAAGCAGCAACAGTTAGGGTTCCACTTCAAGTTAAAGCTGCAAGTCCCCCCCAAAATAGTGGTTTGAGGTCACTGAGGGTATAGTTTAAACCCACATGTTTCTGTATTGTATGTATAGATGGGTACTCAAATAACGAAGGAAAGGTTAAAATTATGCTTTTTATACTTTAAAGAGGGCAATTTGGTGATACTTTTCTGGAACAAGTAAGAAAGGTCAAGGTAGTAAGGTTGTTTCAGTTGTTAGAGGAGAAATGCCCTATCCTCTGGGCATCTCAGTTATCCAGAAATATTTATTCTTTAATCACTTTAAAATGACCAAAGTTTTACTAAATCAAGACCAACTAAGGAGTCTGCTCTTGGGGAATTCCTAAGGGAAAAAAGGCTTCTGGATAGAGAAAGAATTTGTGGGTACATTGGGTGATTTCAAAAGTGACATTTTCCACCAAGACTAGAAATAAAAGTTTGCTTGACCCATTTTTTAATGTCAAAATTACATTTTCAGAAACAAATGTTGTTCTTGTCTGTTTACTATGTTTTTGTGTTAACCTGGCTGTCTCATCAGAGATGGGGACATTTTCTAGTGAAATTAATGTGACATTTAGAGAAAATGTTTTCTCTCAAATGTTTCATGTTACTTGCAATTTAGAATAGTTAGAGTTGGGACTAGAATAATGTCAAGCAAATTTTGATTAAATAAGGCTAACCAGGAGCTAATATATTCACACACAAAAGGAAAGTTCTCTTATTATTTCTTGAAAAATCTGTTCCTTCTGTGGTTCTTTATCCTACATTGAGATCACCTTAACTGACAAACTTATACAAGTGCTACCATATACTCAACTGGGTTTGTATTAGCAAACATGAGACATTTGGCCACTAGTTCTTTGTTGAAGACACTTGGACTTTGCCATGGTGGTACTTTTGATTTACTGGAAAAACGTTAGAAGTATTATGAATTCCAGGCTAATTGTCTCAGCATCTTTTGTAGATGGTACTTTTAAAAAGTTTCTGAGATGATTCTGATGTGCATGTGTAGCTGAGAAATACCCATTTAAGATGTGCAAGCTGTCTCAGTTCATTAAGACAAGATGCTTTCTTACTCAGCTTGCTCTATCACTCTTTATTCCGTCAGATGAGGAAAAATTGGCTTTTTCCATACACAGCCATTAGATTTGAGTACACACATGGGCCCAGTATGAGACAGAACTTTTTCTTCTTTTGTATATACACACACATGCACACACACATGTATGTATGTATGTACGTGTGGTATGCTTGCATGTTTGTATAGGATCGAGGGTGATGTAAGGTGTCGTCCTCAGTCACTCTCCACCTTATTCATTGAGGCATGCTCCTCACGGAACCAGGTTATCATGGTTTCAGCTAGTCTGGCTGGTTAGCATGATTCTAGATATTCCTTGTCTTTGCTTCTCAGATGATTACAGGTAGGCTGCTATGCCCATGTGGATTTTATGTAGGCCTAGGGCATGCAGACTCTAGTATTCATGCTTGTACAATAAATGCTTTACTTGCTAAGGCATATCCTCAGCCTAAACTAGAATTCTTGATGCTAATAAATATAGGCCCATAATAAAATAAACCTTTGTGGCCAGGTAAATCAGTTGTTCTGAAATACTGTTCTGTTCTCATGTGAATGATTCTGTTGCATAGGTTGTTCCTGTAATTACAATTCAGCTACTTTGGGGAATGAAACTGACTGTAAAGGTAAAAGAGAATGGATGAGTTAGAATAGTCCCCTTCATCCTGAGAACATTGTTTCTATAATCTGTTTTATTAAGATGCAGCATGGTCCATCTGCTGGTTTGGGTTATAGAACTTTCAGAGTTGGAGTTCAGTATCACAAGACTGGGAAGTTTACTCAACAAATTTAAAGAAGAAAGAAAGAGGAAGCTGATATAGTTCACTTATATTCTACTGGTTTGAGTGGCATATCATACCTATTGTATCTGTCAGTGGTTAGCCAATTTGTGAACCTTGTTGATTGGTGAGAATTGTTAGTCATTATAACCAGGACTTCTAGAATTTTCTCTACTACTAACTCTGACTGTGAATGGGATACCTCATGGTGAGATAGATTATTCCCTTAGAAGTCAAATCTAGTACAGTCAGCAGAGATAACATTTGTATGTTTATTCTTCTCTGCTCAAACATGTGTTTCTTGCATGGGGCCTGGAGGTCAGGTCATCATAATGCTTACAGATTTGATGCCTTCATCTGTACAAATTTTCTCCTGGAAAATGTTTTTCTTAACATGATGGCAGCTTGGGATGTTGCTCCTGATTTTCCTGCAAGGCCAATAAATACCTTCTGCTTTTCTTTTTGCTAGTGATTTAGTATATTTATGGATTTTTTTTTTTTTTTTTTTTTTTTTTTTTACTTTACTTGTAAAGATTCAGTAAGTTTGGACAGGGACTTTTTTTTTCTGGAATGAAGTAGTTTCTCTTTCTTCTTCTTTTTTTTTTAAGTTTCTCTTTCTACTTACAATGTCAAGCTCCATAGAAAGCAGTGCCCTTGTGGAATCTCATTATGCGTCTTAATAAATGCTGTTGAATTTCTGTTTTTATATTCATGTTGCATTGGTTTGTATTTCACATAGGGGAAAACTGAGGCATGAAAAATTAAGCAATTTAACAAAGATTTATGAGTGAAACAAAGAAGTCATGGAATATTTAATCAGTTCCCCATTTTCACAGGATAGCATGATTTTTAGGTACTGATAACTTCATATGAATTTGCTCAAATATTTCTAGGTTAAGTTAGTTCTGAGTGACTTATTATCACAAATACTAAGACCATATTCCCAATTCAGATTCAAGTTTGCCATCTCCTCCACCAACTAATTTTGTTACAACCTCAGTATTTACTTACTAATCAATAAATTAGAAATGCACTAACCATTTTAAATTTTATTATTTCAAACTATTTCTTCCAATATCACTAAAACTTACTTGTGTTTTAGACAAAGAGTATCTAAATATTTATGTAAAATCAGTGTAAGTAGATATTGTATAGTCTGTCTTCATGTGAGAGCTGTGTAGGAAACATAGATATGTCTAACTACTGGACACTGTTGGGTTTTTGTTTCTTTCCCAATTCTCTCTCCTTTTTTTTTCCTCCCGACTATTCCATGCCAATTTTCTACCTACTTTAGATATCTAGGGTCCTTACAGATTGTTGGCTGTTTAGTGTTCATGTGCTACCTGGATCTGCTATTACATGTCTCATTTTTTCCTCTATCAAACTGTGAATCTTTGAATGCAAGGACTGAAACTAACAGCATAGTATAGTCAACATCTGAAAGGTAGTAAACTTGCTATTTTGTTCTCTAAATAGCTATTGTATCTCTATTTCCAAGCACTTTCAGTTGAAGTGATTGCAGAAGACCTCAAAAGAATGGCAGGAATAGCTGAATGGCAGGATGGAGGAGGAGATGTATTTGGGCATTTAGAGTTCATACAAAGGTGCACTAAGTGTTGTGCTTTTAACATTGGGTGTAAGATCAAGTTTTCTAGGATACTGATTCCAGTATAGATGCTTCTTTGGCTTCTGATCATTCTAAGGCTGACTTCCTTCAACCTACCCAGACTCCTGGTGCTCAAAAGCTGTTTTCTCATCTATTTAATCTGGAAGATACCCTGCATTTGTTTTTGAAAAGCTCTTGCTCCAGCCAGCTAATACTGTAACCAGATTAGATGGTAATGTTTTAATGATAGGAGTTGAGACAAGGGTTTGCTTGCAAACTTCATGTTTCACATGAAAAGCCTTGGTATCCCCTGTGGAGTGCCCTTCACCCTATTTTGGACATAATACTTGTTTGCCTTTATACCTGTGATAAAACAAAAGGCATCCTGTGTAACTGATGCTGAGCAAATGTCTTAAAACAAATGGAAGTGCAGAGTTTAAATACACAGTAGGACATTACCTTGCTGCATTTCTATATCTTTGGAATAAATATTTTAACATGTTAATTGTCTACTTATAATAAAAATTACCTTTGAACTTATAGTCAATTTGATGGGCATAAAATGATCTCCACTGGGGAATGGGAAGCAATTAGTTTCTGTACCGATTGTGAGTCATACTTTCTTTTTTCTCTAAGTGGTTACATGGTCAGTAGCCAGCCATATTCTAGAGAATGTTTCTATCAAGTCTGCCATGGTCTGCAGAAGTGGGCTACTCCTTTCTGAGGCCTTTTGGAGCCCCTAAAGAAAGTGTTTATTAAACTGCTGCCCAGCTACCGCTTTGCTTTCAGATTCATTAATTGTTTTTTTTTTTTTTTACACAGTGAAAAACAAACTTTTTTTTAATAGAACACTTGGACTGTTATTATGGATCATCTTTTAATCTTTTTCTTTCTCATTGCAGACTGAAAACTATTCTTTTGACTCTAACTACGTGAATAGCCGTGCCCATTTAATAAAAAGGTAGGTTGGTTTGCTTTCACATGTCTACTGATTAGCTGGATTTAATATAAAAATAAAAACATTAATCTTTAAGAAGTATGTCCTTCTGGGTGTTGTGATGAATGCCTATGTACTTGTGCTAGGAAGTGTGGGAAATGTAGAGAAAATATTTAAAAACTGAGAATCTCTGTTAATTACATCACACAAAGAGAATCATTGTTGGTTTTTCATCATATTTTTTTTCCATCAAAATACATGCAAAATTAAAAGTGAAATTAGGACAACATAAAATATTTTACTGGAGATTTTTAGAGCTAATATTCCAAGAGGGTTCCCTAGTAAGGGCATCAGGGGCTGTCTCTGATATAAACTCAGTGGCTGGCTTTTTGATCATTTCCCCATGGGGGTTCAGCCTTGCCAGGCCACAGAGGAAGATGATACAACCAGCCCTGATGAGACCTGATAAGCTAGGGTCAGATAGAAGGTGAAGAGGTCCTCCTCTATCAGGGAACTATAGAAAGGGCATAGGAGGAGAAGAGGGAGGATGGGTGGGACTAGGAGGAGATAAGAGAGGGGGCTACAGCAGGGATACAGAGTGAATAAATTGTAATAAATGAATAAATTAAAGAAATATTAAAAAAACTTTCAAAATCATACTGATAGCCAAATATTTGATGCTACTCAGTTTAAATAATAAGAGTATTCAACTTCTGTTCTCTTTTGGAGTTCACAGTATGCTCTGAGATTGTTATTATTTTGACAGCTTTTAAAATATCTAAATGTATATTAAATAACAGATAAAATATCTTTTATAATGCTTTCTAGATGAGAGAGGAAAAGGATAATTTCCAATTTTATACTTGTTAAGATGTTTTGAATTGTTTCAGATGAAATCTGAATTTTGTATGGTTGGTTGGTTACAATTTAGTTGTATACTGAGTATGGAGTAGAGGTGAATATTTACAAGATTCCACATGGTATCATAGGCCCTAAATTCTTGCAATGGGAAAGAACAAGACAGTAGGAGATCCTGTAAGGAGGCAGAACTAAGCAAAGGAGAGAACTTGACCATTCAGATGGTGCCTTTATTGCTCTTTCATTTAAATAGACTCTTGAATGATCCAGTGGTTATTCTGCAGTTGAAATTGAACACTGAGTATGTTTGTTAAAATAGTAGCAATAAAACAGAGGAGCAAATAGTATATTAGCACTGCAGTGAAAAAAAAATCCTTGAAAATTCTATTATTTTGTTGGTTGTAATCTGATAAATTTATATAACTGTAAGAGTGGTAGTCAGGGGGAAAACAAAAATCCTTTTTTGTTGTACAAGAAACTCAGATTCATACCTAATTTAATCTATGATACTGCAGTAACCTACCCCTAACTATGGTAGATTAATCTATACTGACTTGGGATAGCTTGTAACCTTAAATGATAATTATTAGTCATCTTAAAATGGCTACCTTTGTATTACCAATCATAGTACAATTTGGAAAAAAAAATGGAGTTGTTGGGAAGAATCCTCTGAACAAAAGGTAGGGAATTGAAAATTACCTAAGAAATATTTTTTAGAAGAAAAGAAAAAGCCTCTATATATATAGTGATAAAACGGGCTTTGCAGGAAAATACTGCTTTGTTTTCTGTTTCAGGACTGTTATTTTCAAAGCTTCTTTTTGAACTGGTAAAAACAGTGGCTTGCTTGATCGTTACAGGTCTCTGGAGCTACCTGCTTCTGGGTACCTAGAAATTCTCTGACTAGGTTAAACTGATAATACAAACCTGATTTTCACAGCCTGGTAGAAGGCTAAGACTCCGGGGGACCTGTACATCTTAGATCAGCTCCAAATATCAAACTTACAAGGCTTACTTATGAGATAAAGACTTATGTTAAAGCATTTAGCTTTAGAGATACATGCAATTTCCACAGGAGCTTTGAAACTCACTCAAAACTCTGATTTTGATTAATTACTTTAGATGTACTTTTATACACACTTGTGCACAAAAGCTACATTCTCGACTGAATGGGCTCATGGGGGAAATATCTCTAGATGTGGCCTAAAATCAAAGATAGCAGTTTATTTACCAGTGACCACCTGATTAAGAAGAAACATCTGAAAGCTTGCATACATACACACTTTTGTCAGTTTCTTTTTATAGAACTATGGTGGTTTTGAGAAAGTTTGAAGGTCTTTATGGGGAGAGTTGCATTTAAATGCATGCCAATACTTTTGTACAGGATATTCTGTGTGCTATTCTTTTCTGGAGAATAAGCATTACAAGTGCAAAATCAGTATGAAATGACAGTGGTGACTAATGCTAACACTGACCCCAAGGGATCAAATGGTGGGAAAAATGATTAACTGTTTACCAAGATGTTTAAGACCCCTGTTCGAAAAAAAGCTCCTAGACAAGAAATTCTGAATCTTGTTATCAGTCATCATTAATTTTATTTGGAAATTTCTGAATTTTTAAAATGCTAAGTAAAGTTCAGCCTAACACTTAGAATAAGTTTTCCTATACATTTCCCCCCCATTTTACACTCAGTTTCCAGTTATTCAAGAACATTTATTGGAATGTTGTTTTGGGCTTCCTTGGCCAGACTGTATACACAGACACTTTTTTACTTTTATTTTTAAATTTTTATCACTTATTACAATTTATTCAATTTGTATCCCAACTGTGGTTCCCTCCCTCATCTCCTCCCATTCCCACCCCCTCTCCATCTTTTCCCTCTATGCCCTTCCCTTAGTCCACTGATAGAGGAGGTCCTCCTCCCCTTCTATCTGACCCTAGCCTATCAGGTCTCATCAGGACTGGTTACATTGTCTTCCTCTGTGGCCTGGCAAGGCTGCACCTCTGCCCCCCACCCCCAGGGGCAGTTATCAGAGAGCCTCTCCTTGAGTTCAGGCCAGATAAAGTTCCTGCTCTCCTAACTAGGGACCCAACTTGGAGACTGATTCTATGGGCTACATCTGAGCTGGGGGTTTTAGGTCCTTTCCATGCATTGTCATTGGTTGGGGTATCAGTCTTTGCAGGGCCCCCAGGGTTCAGTTTTTATGACTCTGTTGGTCTCCTTTTAGAGTTCCTGTCCCCTCGAGGCTTTTCTACCTCCCCCTTTTTTCATAAGATTCCCTATACTCTGCCCAAACTTTGGTTATGAATCTCTGCCTCTGCTTTGATACCTTGATCAGGAGAGTTTTTCAGAGGCCATCACACAGACACTTTTTTTTATTCTTTCCCACCTGTCTACATTTGGTAGTTGAGAACTGGTCATCTCTGGTAGCAAAATGCATTTCTTGTAGCAAAATGCATTTCATTTTCATGAAAACAATGGCATTGAAAATGTAACTGAAAAGACTCATCCAGAGAAACATGAGAGGAGTAATAATAACTTCTGGCCAGTTGAGAGATGTGATCATGACAGAGTGATTCTGTAGGACAGACAGTACCTTAACATTCATCTTCTTCCATTGTCTGATTTTCTGTTTCTTTGCATTCATGGAAGTAATATCATTAGAAATCCAGAAGGGTGGTTCAGAGACATGAATTAACACGGAAAAGCATGAGGATTAGATCTCAAAGGGAGAAAAAAGGTCTATGGCATATTCCCCATAATTTTCTGGATGGAGGAATCCCAACATTATATCTCTAAAACTCTATTCTAAATGTTTTAAAATGAGTTCTAGGTTATCTCCACGAATAGTCCTTGGTTGGAGTATGAGGCTCTGGGAAGTTCCCTGTGTTCAAATTATCTTGTTCTGTTGCTCTGCTTGTGGAGTTCCCGTCCCCTCTAGCTCTTACTATTTCCCACTTCTTAAATAAAATTCCATTCACTCTGCCCATCAGTTGTCCATCAGGCTCAGCATCTGCTTTGACAGTGTATACTGCAGAGGCTTTCAGAGGCCCTCTGTGGCAGGTTCCAAGGTTGTTTCCTGTTAAAATGAAATTGTCCTTCTGCTGGTCACCAGAGCAGTAATAGAAACATTTCTGCTTGCAAAATATCTCTGAAGTTCAATATTTTTCTGTACTGTTATCTGTAATCTAAGGACATACCCAAGGTGCTTTCTGAGAGAAGCCCAGATTAGCAAACTAGGTGAATTGAGGTTTTTTTTCTGGGTAGATTTTCATCTTCCTATGTTTGTATTACTGCTATCTTCTCAAAGTAGGGTAGGCCAGCAGTGCTACTTTGCCATGGCTGCAACACTGTTTCTTCAAGCCTGCTCTCTGCAGGGCTGGCTAATATCAACTTCTGGAGTCCTTTTGGAGCCTTATCAAGCAGAATGGGAGGCTGTAGCTCAAAGAAAACACAATAGTAATTGATCAACACATCAGAAGTAGTTTAGAAAGAAAAAAAAATGAACCTTGGCTTTTAAGTTTTGCATGGTGGTTACTACCAAAACTGTGCCAGAGTTTTGCAGCATCTGGCATGGTGCCATGTATCTAGTAAGTAATTGGTACATGTTTTCAGCTAACTAAGAGAAAGGAGTGGAAGGAAACATTTTGTTTTCAATAAAAAGAGAGCGGTAAAATTCCTTTTAAAGCAGCCGTTTTTGAACAATAGTATGCACTGGTAAAGGTAATATTCAGCTCTATTTTTAGAGAAGCTCCCATTTTGACAGCTTCCAAGGATTAATGACAGAGGTGGTCTAGAAAACACTCTGGATCACACTTTCTTAGAGTTCCAATATGCTTTTGCCTCTCTTTTCTTAGTCACAAATGACAGGTATATGGCATCACCTATTGGAGATGTGTCCTGTATCCTTTTAGATTCTTCTGTCTATTGCAAAAGTAATATTTTAAAGGGTACATGCAGATTAGTATTACTGTAATGTTCTTTCATCAAGCGTATGTAGAATAGCTCTTCTGTACAGAATCCTGTTATAGGTGTTTTTTAATATTTCTTTTTTTATTAATTTATTTTTTATTAATTGCAATTTATTCATTTTGTATCCCAGCTGTAGCCTCCTACTTCATCCCCTCCCAATCCCACCTTCTTTCCCTCTTCTCCTCCCATGCCCCTT